ATTTGTCATTCTTTGGAAGAACGCACCCATGTGAGAGAAATATAGTTTAGTTAAGACGACCTTCGTGTCAAGGTTTATATAGATTACGAGGACACTACCTACCGCTGAGTACCTGTACATATGTTTGATGCACCTATATATGTGGTGATGGTCGACTACTTCCCTTATCAACATAGATAGGGTTAATAGTTTTAATTTCATCGAGAATTACCGTCGCAAGGGTCCCTGTCAAAACTGTTTATTTTCTTAGCTATTCTTCGGTAAGTCGTGTCTACAGAGGCCATAAACACGACAGAATACATTTCTTTCAACTTTCCTTTTTTAAAACTTTAGTAAAGGGAACCGACATTTTGTTGTTACAGACATTCCACTTCTGTGGCCGTGAAAGACGAATTTTTAATTGGATAACAACACTTCTTAAGGAAATATGAAAGTTTTAATTGGATAACAGCAATTCTTTTGGTGCGACCTTTGTTTTAATGCGTGCTCTGTCGTGAAACTTAGGGAAATATGAAATTTTTAATTAGTTAACAGCAATTTTTTTTAGTCCGATCTTTGTTTTAATGCGTGCTCTGTCGTGAAAACTTTGTATAGTGTAAGAGCCTTAAGAGCTAATATACCAGGCCCCTTATTATTAATTATTTTAAACTATTTAGTATCTGATAGCAGTCGTTGCAAAATATGTCACTGGCTCACAAATGATTCATTTCCTTTCGCTATTTGCATTAATAGCTATGATGTATATATATTAATAGCTAATGTAGTGATTAAGAGTCTTCTCAATTGTCGCTGATTCTAAGAAATCTCTCCTGTTATCGTTTATTTATGGATTACAAACTCTTTACTAAAGACGACAAGCACTGCCTTGTTTTCAGGGGCTCTCTTTCTAGTGGCTCATCAAATTACTGCCGGAAACGTTGTAGGAGCGTTCGCTTTTGAAACTCGTCTGCCGGAAAGTAAGCGAGTTAACAAACTTCAATACAAATGAAATTAAGTTTGATTTGTTGTCTCACGACAAGGTCACTTGATGCGGAACGCAACGTTTCGACTGCTTACTGCAAGTCTTGTTGAACAGAACAAACTTATAACATCACCCAACTACCACGATGAACAACAATCTATTTCATAACAAACGAAATTAAGAAAACAAACTGAACAACTGTGTAATTTATATCTCCTAATAAGTGAGGATTAGCGCTGAAGGGTATGGTAAGTAATCTAATTAGGCTACCACATCGGAAACACAGCAGGTGTTCGTTTTCATCGCTTCCGCGAAATAAGACGAACAAGAGACTATATTCTGGCCGGATTTCCGGTTCAGAGAGAACGAATTGAAGGCCTTGCGGTGTTTAGCAAAATCGCTGTGAAGTGCTTTTCATGTCTAATAAACATGGAGAGTAATGTAGATTAAGACTTTGGAACAAGCTGATGCCATGACAAATTGGAAATACTAAAATCGCCAGATGAAATGCGGGGACTAAAGTAAGCACCGCGGCAAAGACAACAGAAAAGGAATAAGCCACATTTTGACTAACCTTGAGTAACAGAGAAATCGTGAATGATGGCAACCATCCAACTCCGCAGAATAATAAACGCTACCTCGGGCGTTCTACAAAACCATCATAAATAGAATTTTGTGTTTATCAAATTTATTTTCCGGTTGCAAAATTGATCAAATTTTAACGCTGCGATTCAAATATTTTTCTGCCTGCACAAGTCAAATTCCCTATTTCCCATTCCTATCTCAAGTTTCGCCTCACAGTCGCTAAATAAATATTTGCATTTGAACGCGATGATCTTTGTTTACAAAGTTTTCTCCCGCTTACATCTGATAACGAACCTCTGAATTTTTTTGCCTGGGAACGATTATTGGCGGAGTTTGTGGTTACAACACTAGAGATCGAAAGCGTGAAACGGAAACTGTTCCTTTACTTTCATGCATCAAGAATATAACAAGTCACAAGTCAGCTTTCAAATCTACTGGCCCTGAAGATTATACCGACCTTATTTTGTGCCGAGCGCACAAATGTCGGCCCCTCTGGAGTTCAAGGTTTTAAACGGTAGTTGGGTCTGTTAACAGTGGTTAATAGTACCACTCCCTTTTGCATGCCCCATCCAATGGCCACGGAACATAGCACCCCTGCCTCACATAAGCCACACATCTCCACCACTGCGTTTTGTAGCATGGCGTACAAAGGGTTTCTTTCATGCTATTAGGGTATTCCTTGCAATTTTAGTGGAAAGAATAACACCCCTAATAAGTACGAAAGGCACGGAACGCCAAAAAAACCAAGAATAATTCCCTGCAATAAATAAATGTATTTCAATGTTTGTCACCAGACAAAGATGACACTATTACAAAAATGTTTACAGAGCAAAATGTTTTGAGGTTCCAAGAGTTCAATTCTGATAGTGCTTAATTATATGGAGTTTTGCCCTTCGCCTACCCCCTAAGTTCCTTTGTCAACGGTATTGCGTGACAACCCAAACACTCAAAGGG